CCCCCCCAGCAGCCTCTCTCAAGGCAAACTCTGAATGCTTCTGGCTGTCAGGTTGGGCCGGGCCAAACCTACAAGGATTTATGGGGAGCAACTTAATTTCTCCAGTATTCTTCTTCCTGTGCTGTTTCCTCTTTGCCTCCTCCTGACAGCCCCCATATCCCCTCCCGGTTTTTTGCTTCCTTTTCCTTCCCACCCACGAGCCAACCTACCTTTTATCTGCCCCCCCCATCTTCAGCTATATTTATTATTTATTCATTTATACGCTGCCTTTCTCCACAGTGGGGACCAATGTTCCCTTTAAGCTCCACAGTGTTGTGAGCAAAATTCTGCCTCGTGAGTGAGTCTACATTTGTCTATCCTGTAAATTAGTTTTTTAGATTCTTTCCATAACCTTGTAAAAGTCTCAGAATGAATTCTTTTAAACTATATTTTAAGGATAATTTAAAGATTATAAGAGAAAACAGAATCAAGTCAGATTTCATTACAGAAAATGTTGTCCTCTACAGGGCTAGACCAGGCCTCTGGGGTACAGGTCTACTCACCCCTTTCCACTATATTGGTAACTTGGCCTCCAGATAACAGGTCTACCCACCCCAGTTCGCTATATTGGTAGACCTGGTCTTGGACTGTCACCCTGTGCTGAGCCTTAGAGAACATACCAGCACTTAGGGGGGAATAAAACTCTTGCAGTCTAATTTGGGTTTTTTTTAATGAAATATCACCATCAGCATTACAGGTCAAGTATCACAGAGGTGGAACAATCACTGTCAGAACCCTGCCTAACCTAACAAACAGGAAGTAGCTTAAAGTTATCAACCTGCCCAAATGACTTATTTCTTCAAATGTTTATATCCCACTTTTCCCTGTGACCCCAAGCAGCTTATAAATCATACTGAAAAGGATAATAGGGGTGTACAAAAAAACCCAAACATTTTTTTCTTGGCTCCATTATAGCCTGTGGGGAACATTATAGTCAATGGGCCCTGTAGGCTATAAGGGAGAATCGATCCAGGGGTATCTGGGAGAGATGTTTTTGAGGTAGAGGCACCAAATTTGCAGCATAGCTGTTGGTGCCTCCCCTCAAAGAAAATCTGAAGTTTCAAAAAGATTGGACCAGGGGGTCTGATTCTATGGTTTGGTGTAGTGGTTAAGTGTGCAGACTGTAATCTGGAAGAACCGGGTTTGATTCCCCACTCCTCCACTTGCACCTAGCTGGATGGCCTTGGGCAAGCCGTAGTTCTGATAAGAGCTGTTCTCAGCCCCACCTACCTCACAGGGTGTATGTTGTGGGGAGGGGAAGGGAAAGGAGATTGTAAACTGCTTTGAGACACTTTTGGGTAGTGAAGGGCGGGGTATAAATCCAATCTCCTCCTCCTCCTCCTCTTCAGCTCCCCAGAAGAAGGTGCCCCCATCCATTGTTTCCAATTGAGTGAAAAATGTCTTCTCAGTTCACGTGTGGGCTGAAGCAAAAATCCCTGCGCTGCCGGCTAAAATTCTGTGCACCAGCGTCCCCTAGCACAGTTTAGAGGGGACTTTGGTGGGGACTGCAAACAGCTTACGTCATTCTCCATTTTATCTTCAGAACAACCCTGTAAAATAGGTTAGACTGTGAGTGTGTAACTGGCCCAAGGTCACCCAGTGAGCTTCCATGGCAGAGTGGGGATCTAAACCTCAGTCTCTCAGATCCTAGTCTGAAACTCTAAACTACATCACATTGGCTTTCTTGGATGGCTACTCTTGAACACTAACAAGCAGCTGGGCTGGGGTGAGTTGCGGAAGTTGTGTGGTGACAAGTAGCAGGGTGGTTTCTGCCAGGCGTGACCCTGATGAGTTCTCCCTCAAAGGCCAGAATAGCCCTGGAAAGGGCCCGGCCCCCTTGTCCCTGCCTTTCTGAGGCTTGAATGCTGGCAATACTGCTTTGGTTGCCTAGCAGTTAAGACAGAAGGAAGAGCTGATGTTGAATCTCAGGTGTTTGGGGGCCCAGTTTGCAGGTGATTTCTGACCCCCACATTAAAAAAGTGCTGTCTCCTAGCAAGGCTGGGACTCAGCAGAGCTTCCCAGGAGGGGGACTGGAAGCTGACTTCCAGCTGATGTGGGGTTCCCTTATCACTGGCAGTCTACTTCTGAACATTCTGTTCCGTCGCTGTTTGCATTATTTTGCCTGAGCTGAACAAATCTGCATTCAGCTCACCATCTGACTGTTGATCACAATATGTTTGGCTGCTGAACAGATTCACTGTGAAATTTGCAGCATCCCTACCTAAATGTAACAGGGTGGGGTGGATAGTTTTTCTCTCCCAGAAGCGCCTTCGACAGAACTCTCCTTCCTCCCCCTGCAACAGAAAGAAGTACTGTGAGAACCAGACCCACTTCATGTGACATGTCTCAGTGACCTTAGGGGGAAGAAGACAAACTGTAGACAAATAAAAGTTTAATTTTTAATGTTCATAGAGCTTTCCTGGACAATGGATGCAAGGCCTGATTTCTCCAGGTGTTCACTTGGCATCCTACAGCAACTGGGCAGGGCCACAAACAGACTTGTGTGGCATGCCTAAGGGAGCAACAGCACCTTGGTGAATAGTTCATGAAAAAGGGAGGCAAAGTTTCAGAGGGCTGCCACAGAATATAAAATGATGTCTCTGAAAATAGGCAGATATTTGGAAGATTTTTGCCTCTATAGAACGGGAATTTAATCGTATACCAAATTTGTAACTATCATTGATCCAGATAAATTAAAGGCCACTCACTGGCATTTGTTAAGCAGTGCAGAAAAGACGTCTAGGTAGTACCAAGTGAATTTTAACTTTTTATGTTTGTTTTGCATTGTGTTTCAGAGATGGCGACTTAAGTTTAAGTAGATCAGTGGTCAATAGCTCTGATAAAATAAATCAAAAGAGCGGGTCTTCGATATTCCAGCATACTGTAGAAAGATGGAAAATCAATTCTTCCTTGGTCCTGGAAATCAGGTGAGTATCTCAAACAACACTCAGCTCATTTATGTGCTCCGGAAACTTGCAATTTGTGTGTGTGTGTGTGTGTGGTACAGTCTAGCAAACGTCTCTTGATTTTAGAACTGTTAATTTACAGTTCATCTCAGGTGGAGACAAATGTTGGATAGATAACCTTGGGCCTGATAATTATCTGATGGCATAGCCTACCTCTCATAGTTGTCAGGATACAAAGGAGGGTTGGGGGAGTTCTGTTTAGATTGCTTTGAGCTCCTTGGAGGAGGGGCAGTATGCAAAAGCCAAAGATCAATAAATATGATATAAAGGTGGATATTCCAATTAAAGGAAAATGTGTGTATGTAATACAATAACCAACTCTTCACACAATAACCAATAAAGATTTATTTTTAGCTGTGCTTCTCACACACGCACGAGGCTGCCTCATACTGAATCAGATCATTGGTCCATCAAAGTCCATATTGCCTACTCAGACTGGCAGGGACTCTCCAGGGTCTCAGGCAGAGGTTCCTTTATGGTTGTAGTGAAACCTGATTTACCAAATTTTGAAGACAAAGAGGGATTAGTCATCCCTTGTGAACCTCCCAGTAGCATCTTGTGGCCATGGCTGAAGTCAGAAGTTGGACTGGATGGAGTTTTGACCAGATCATGCATAGCAGTTCTAAGTTCATGTGAGCTTGATAAAGCACGTGGCTTTTTGTTTAGGTGTTGGCATTTTGATTTGCCGTGCAAAGTACTCATGCTTACCCTCTGGACTCTGAAGCAAGAGAACTGGCTGAAAATCCAGATTCACTATAAAGATATACCTTTGGCACATGCAGTTTTCAGTCTAAAAGGAAATAATGTGTGTGGGACAGTTGCTGCAGTTCTTTTTTAATTGTTTTAATTTTAAGCTTGTTTAAATATGCATAGCATACAAAAAGCATACCACGCTATAACAATAATAAACTGTTACCATTAGTGTGATCCCTACTCTGATAAAAAATAATAAACAAGTGGGAACCCACAAGGACTTGTGGGAGGCATCTCATTTCCCCCTTCCCCCCTATTTTCTTTTTCCCTTTCCTTAAACTCTCCCATTGCCTCTCCCCTTTTCCTGATTCCTCCTCCCCTTTCCACCCAACAGCCAGCCTACATTTACCAGCCTTTTTGTCTTCAGGTTTCCCTCTCCCCCCCAGCAGCCTGTACTTAGGAAAACTATGGTCCAGTTGTGTAGTGTTGGTCCCTCGGCCAGGCCCATTTGCCTGGTAAGGAACCCTCAAGGACTTGTGGGGGGACCACCTTACTTCCAGTTTGGTGTAGTGGTTATGAGCGTGGACTCTAATCTGAGAGAACTGGGTTTGATTCCCCACTCCTCCACCTTGTGTGACCTTGGCTCAGTCATAAGTTTGTTCAGGGCAGTTCTTGAGAGAGCTCTCTCAGCTCCACCTACCTCACAGGGTGTCTGTTGTGGGGAGGGGAAGGGAAAGGAATTGTCAGCTGCTCTGAGACTCCTTCAGGTAGTGAAGGGCGGGTTATAAATCCAATCTCTTCTTCTCTTCTTTATCTTCTTCCCCCTGTATCTCTCTCTCCACATTATTTCCCCTTTCCACCCTTCTGATAACCCCCATATCTTCTCCTCTTTCCCTGCCTCATTATCTTCTTCTTATCCACTTACCAGCCTACCTTTTATCTGCTTCCCATCTTTAGCTATATTTATTATTTATTTACTTTTCTGCACAGAGGGGACCAAAGCAGCTTATGTCATGCTCTTTTCCTCCTTTTATCTGCACAACAGACCTGTGAGGTGGGTTAGGCTGAAAGTATGACTGGTCCACAATCACCCAGTCAGTTTCCACAGCAAGATGAGGATCTGAACTAGGGATCCCAAGTCCCCCCGGGGGTCGGGGAAACCCCCACCCCAGAGGCCCGTTCCCCGGCGCTGTCGGATTGGGCCCCGATGGGAACTCCTCCGTATGGTTTTCCCTTGTATGGCCGTGCCCCCGCCCCCAGCGTGCCCAGCGTCATTACATCACTTCCTGGTGATGTATGTGCGGCGCGCACGCGTGCTCCGGGATCCACCCGGGAGTCCCCCGCTGCCAAGGTAAGTTCCACTTGGCAACCCTAATCTGAACCTGGGTTTAGCAGACCCTGCTCTGAAGCTCTAACCACTTGACCCCACTAACTTTCATAGGGTGACTGCTGTTGAAGAGTAGCAAGCAGCCTGGTATAGATGAGTCCACCCTCCAAAACAGCCATTTTCTCCAGTGGGACTGATCATCTGGAGAGTGGTTGTAATTCTGGGTGGTCTCTAGCTCCTGCTTGGAGGTTGGCAACCCTAGTTCCCTTGAAGGAAATGGCTGTTTTGGTGGGTGGAGTCTATGGCATTGCACCTCTGAGATCTCTCCATTCTTCAAACTCCACCCTCCCCAGGCTCCACCTCCACCTCTGGCAACCCTATCTCCTTCCCATCCAGCAGCCAACCTGCCTTTATCTGCTCCTCTGTTTTAAGCTCCCCCCCCCCGCCAAGCCACATCTACCTTGGAAAATTGTGGCCCAGTTGTGTGATGCTGGCCACAAGGCCAGGCCCACTTGCATAGTAGAGAACCCTCAAGGACTTGTGGGATGGGACCTAACGATTTAAAATTTTCTCCTCTCCTTTTTATTGGCACTACAGCCCTGTGAGGAAGGGTAGACTGAATGCATGTGACTGGTCCAAAATCACCTAGTGAGCTTCCACATCCTGATGGGAATTTGAACCTGGGTCTCCCAGTGCCTACTCTGAAGCTCTAACTGCTACACCCGACTGGCTCTCATAAAGTGGCTGTTGTTGAACAGTAGCAAGCAGTCAGGCCTAGTTGAGTCATGCAACTCAGGTGGTATCAAGTCACCCAGAGGTTGCTTCTAGGCCTAGTGTTGCCAACCTCCAGGTAGGACCAGGAGATCTCCCAGAATTACAACTGATCTCTAGATGGCAGAGATCTGTTAGCTTGGAGAAAATCTGCTTTTGAGAGTGGACTTTATGGCATTATACCCAGCTGAGGCCTCTCTGCTCCCCAAGCCCTGCCCTCCTCAGACTCCACCACAAAATCTCTACAAATTTCCCAGCCTGGAGCTTGCAACCCTAGTCAGGCTTGACCCCAATTACTCCTCCCTGAAATGCCAAAATAGGCCTAGAAAGGCCTTTACTTACAGAGCTAAGCCTGGAATACTGTGGTTGGCTAGCAATAGCCACTTATGGAGTCTGTTGCTTAAAGCTACTGGTTCTCCTTTTATCATTTTTACATTTTTAAAACCACCAAACATATTTTGTTTAGATTTCAAATTTTCCTGCAAAACCTGGGGCCCTTTTCAGGTTTGTAGAAAGCTCTGTCTTGCTTGTTATCAGCTCCTTTCACCGGATTTAAGTATTCAAAGATGGGTCAACTTTGCTTTTAGAATATAAAATAATCTCTATAACAATTCATATTTGATAAAATATAAAAGAAATGTCCAGAGCTAACAACATTATAATCCCAAATTTAGTACTTAGCTCTGAAACAGATCTGAAAGTTGAAGGTGGCAACCTAAATGACTCCTGACAGCTTGATGTACAATTGTACTTCGTACAGTAATTGGGTGATGGCTTGTCTACATGCAGATTAGGCTTGGTGTTGATTATTGCCTGCCTGATACCTTACACTTTCCATGCATCAGGATTGTTAAGTTGCCCACTTAACAGAATAGTCAGAGAGTGATTCAGCAAAAGATCAGCTTTATTCAGCAACTCAACACAACTCCAACACGGATCAACATCTGATAGCCAGAACAGCTTTAGCATTGAAGCTGTTCCACTTTTAAACTCTCCTGGCTAATGTAGCCACGCCCTATTGTACAATATCAACCTATGAGGTTGTAGAGTTAAGGTCCAATTACATTAGTTCCCGCTCAGGAAGCTTGCTGGTACTTGATTGGCTGGTTCTTCCTGGGCTACCAGTATGATTGGAGGGATTTGGATCCTAGCCCAGGACGAAGCTTCACATGGTGTTTCAATAGGGTGATTCACATACAGTTTGCCTTGCATTGAATACACCACAAGGATTATTGTTTCTTTCAAGATATTCAGTACCAAGGCTTGGGAGCTTTATTCCAGAAAAAATGGGTACCTTTCTGGACATCACTAGTAAGCATAGTTGATATGTGACATGCGATGCTGGGAATTCTTTAGGACAAATCTGCACTACGTCTGCTAAATTCTAGGCTACTCCAAAGTGAGGAACTGAGTAGGCTACATTTTGTGAGGAGGTGTAGCAAATTATTCCTCCTGAACAGTTTGCAAAAATGCAGGAGAGATCAAAGAGTTCTCTTGCCCAAAACTGCATCAGCCTCATATAGAGGATTTCATCTCTACAATTTTAGGGTGGCACCATTATTTAAAAAATGATTTATTTGTTTATGTCTGAAGTCTCATTGAAGTATGCAGTCCATCTATATTATGACATTCAGGCGGTTGGTCCCAAAGTTTTAATGTCTTGTATAATAAACCACCAACCCAGCCCCCCAAGATATTAACAGCATAGAGCTAATTAAGATGTGCAAAGCTGCATTAAAAGGAAACCAGCAGGGGATCTCTAGCCTGAGAGCTCTTGGAAGGCTTAGTGTCTGAACGGTCCTGTGCTTTATCACCAGAAGAGCAAATAGCCAACTGTGATTCAGAAGACTTGCATTTCAGTACACTTGATTGATTTTTTTTTTTGAAGGAAATAACATTATTTTGCATATGCAGTTAAGAAAATGGCCATGAAACTGCTTTTGTTGAGAACTGTTGTAATTCAAAGTCGGCTTCCTGAGTCATATTTTACTTTCTGTTACATTGCCAGTAGAAAACCACAAAGGCGATTGCATCCAGCTCTGTTGCACAGGGGATTTCCATTTTCTTCTTTGAGGAATCATCAGGGCTTGACTTCGAAGATGAGTTGCTTTTCAGTTTATATTTGGCTCAGAGTTTTACCTTCTGTCCTGAACACCCTTACTGTTTGCTC